GTGAAAAGAAAAGAAATCAAATGCCCTAACATGTCTAAATATGTACTGTCCCTAGCTCACTATTTCAAGTGGCACTAGACTAGTCACCCTTCCCTCAGGATGAGGGTCTCTCCCCCACAGCAGCCTCAGTCCCTTCTTCCTGGGAAGAAGAACAGCTCTTCCTACTGCACCAGATCTTTTATTCCAAGCCCTCCTCTTTTCCTATTGGTCAGTTTTGGCTCCAAAACCCCTCAGGGGCTTCTGGGAGTTGTGGGCCCAGCCTCACCTACTGCTAGCCAGGCTCCCTGGGCCTAGTAGGCCTCTGGTGGCACAGCCCAGATCATGACGGGGAATATGACAAAAGATCATCAAATGGCAGTGTGGCAAATGCAGAGAGAACTTCTCCCTCTCCCCAAATGCTAGAACTCACGAGCACCCAACAGAGTTGATGGGTAGCAGAGTATGGGTGAAGCAGAGAGAGTCGTCCCTCACCCAGCACTTGCTTAACTTGTGGAACTCTCTGCATCATGATGGTAGCCCTTTAAGAGGAGATTTCAGTAGATCCACAGAGGGTAGGTTCCATCAGTGACTGAATGGAACATCCATGTTCAGAAATGCCAGTGGCGGGGGGAGAACAGGAACAGGAAGAAACCCATGTCTGGTTTGGCACCCGTTTCGCAAGTTAGCACCTGGCAGCCCCTGAACCTCTCCCCCCCCCAAAAAAAAAATCTGTGCAGTGCTCCACCGCACACATTTTTTAATCTGCGCTTTGGGGCCCTGTTTGGAATCAGATGTATAGATGCCTTTGGGGACTGGGTATCTTCTGTGCAAAAGAGAATGCTGGACTTCTTGAGTGACTGGTCTGTCCCCACAGAGCTATTGTTGTTCTCAGATCACTTTGGTAACGTATCTCCGGGGGGGGGGGGGGGCGTGCAGAATTAAAAGATCTTCTGATAATAGCATTGTGTTTCTACTGATGCTCAGGACTGAAGTGCAGCTGCTTGGTTGTCACGTCTGCATATCTTGGATAGGGAGCCACCCCTTTAATGCCTGTGGTGTTCAATGTATCCCCCCCCCACCCCCTGCTCTTCCCACGTTCACAGCTTGCCTGCAGGCATCTTCTTAGGGAGGCTAACCCTGGTTTCATTTTGCCCCTGCAGATCACAAAGCCCTGAAGGCTCTGCTGAGAGCGCTGGTGGATCTTCAGGACGAGCTGCTCTACCAGTATTCAGGCACGCAGCATCTGGTGGTTGGCGGGCAATCCGCAGAAGCAGAGAGGTAAACAGTGGGCGACGCCAGCACCTCCCAGGGTCCCTGTTTCCATATTCATTAAACTGATTCACTTCCCTAAGCTAGATTGCTGGATCTGAGTGCAGTGGCGCATGTGAACACATGAAACTGCCTTCTACTGAGTCAGGCCCTGGGTTCATCAAAGTCAGCATTGGCCACTCAGACAGAGTTTGCTTGTGGTTTTTTCCTGTGGATATCTGTGATCCCTTTTGTTTTGTTTTGTGCTGTATCCTTTGGGGATGTAGACGTATGATGGAGTAAAGAAGTATTTATATATTAATTATCATGTCAGTATAAGAAATTAAATAGTTTATATATTTACAGAGGTTAAGCCTACAATAACGTCATGTTACTATAAGAAACAAATGTTCAACATGCAGCTGCATGATATTAACTAGTATAGTCTTTATAGTGTCTGGATCCAGTTAGTTGTAGAGAGCATTTGCCAGCCAGAAAATGAAGACTTTAGCCAGATAAAATATAAGAACTGGGTTGCTACTACCTAAATAAGTTGGTGTTTGTGGAGAACATGGCCAGTAAAATCCAGGAGGCTTTTTTGTACCTACAGAGGATTGGCTTGCTCCAAAAATAAACACTTATTATGGAACCAGAAGTAAGTTTTCTAAAGGTTAAATTATTACAAAAACGAAATTATTATAAGTTTAACATAACTATTTTCCATGCAGCTTCAGGTGGAGTTTTATTGATTATGGTTTATTCCAGGATGTGGAGCTGCGGTGGCTCAAGTGGTTAAGACACTGAACTGCAGGCTGTCGAAGGTCGGTAGTTCAGCAGTTCGAGACCCGAGTGTGCTGCATGACAGAGTGAGCTCCCATCTCTAGTTCTAGCTCCTGCCAACCTAGCAGTTCGAAAGCAAGAAATTGCAAGTAGATAAATAGGTACCACTTCAGTGGGAAGGTAACAGCGTTCCGTGCGCCTTGGTGTTTAGTCATGCCGGCCACATGACCACGGAAACGTCTTCGGACAGCGGCTTTGAAACGGAGATGAGCACAGCAACCCTAGAGTCGGACTCGACTGGCTTTCGAGCAAGGGAACCTTTACCTTTACCTTATTCCAGGATATTATGAAGGTAATTAAGAATTTACAATGCTGAGCTGAATTTAAGAAGCTGACACCTCCTTTAAATATTGGATTACAAGTAAGAATGTTGGATAAATTGTTGCACTTTTATAAAGTTTTAGAAAAGCAATGTAAATCTTATAAATGTTGTTCATATCACAGAGTTTGCTTGTGGTTTTCCCCAGGGTCTCAGGCAGGGGTCTTTCACATCACTAGCCGCCTGGTCCTTTTTAACTGGAGATGCCGGGGATTGAACCTGGGACCTTCTGCATGCGAGGGCAGCCCCTCCCTTAGAGACCAACAGGATTTTGAGATTCAAAGTGGAGTGAAGCTTATTCCCTGAAAATTTTGTTGGTCTCTAAGACGTTACTGCACTAGACTCTCTCACTCTGCTACTGAAGACCAATATGGCCACCCTCTGACATTAAGCTGGGCTGGAGCGCCTTATGAGAACGCAGGCTACGGAGTTTGGGGGGCTTTTCATTCAGAACGAAGAGGACCAAGGGTGGTGGCGGGAGGCGTGGAATGACAAGCAGGGTGATGGCGAAGTGAACGAAGCGGAGCGACTCGGGGACTGAGAAGACAAAACTCCGTCACCAAATGCATGATTAGTGTCTGCAGCTGTGGCCAGGGGCCTGGGTTGGGGCTGGGGGCAAAAGGAGCAATGATAACGTCCTGAGCATCTTGAAAATGGGGCAGGGTAGGGACAGATATGTGATGTTTGGAATTACGGCCCTGCCTTTGACTGCTTTGAAGCGGGACTAGACGCCTAGAAGAGAATAAGGACGTGGGAGCCACAGATAGTTTAGCGGATGATGGAGAGAGCTGCAGGGCCAGAGCGCTCCTGGTCGCCCCCCTCGCCCCGGTCAATTGCTGTTCGTCTCTCTGGGCCAAAAGTGCCATTAGTGAGACAGGAGGGAGAGTCTCGTCAGTGGCGGTTGTCTGGCCTCACTGGTCAGCTGCCACTGAAAATCTAAAAAGAAAGGTGAAATATAAATCCTGAAAATAAATGGAACCTCCGCGTACAGTGGCAGTGTACCTCTAGGGACGGATGTCAAGGGAAGGCCAATGTTCCCTCTAAGCTGAGTGAGTGTGAGCTAGCTCACAGTTTTTTAGCCTCCGTGACTAGAGATGTAAAATTTCCGGAAATTTTGAAGCTCGGAAAAAAACCCGGGTTTTTTCGGGAAAAAACGGAAATTTTTGGAAAAATTGAAAAAAATGCTACATTAGCATTTCTTTTGTCTTTTCTAGATTGAACGTCATTCTGTTACTTTAGGAACATAAAATATGACTATGGGCATTTTTATTTGGCATGAAATTATCACAACTAGCATATTAAAAATATAGTGTATCCAAACAATTATTACAAACAGAATACCCACCCACATGCAAAAACAAAACTGAAACCTTTTTATTTTCTTCTGACAATAGCACCTTCTAAAGGAAGAAATGCATCTTGTTCTTGCATTGGAGAGTTCAGTTTGTAAATAGGACTTGCTTGTCCTCAGTGCACAGAAATTAGATCAATATGATACCATGTATATATATTTTAGAAATGATTTGTAAAATATTTGAACACCTTGTCTTAAAATATTTTATTCATCATGTTAAAATAAAACGTTCCATAATCATTTTTTTCTTTTCTTTTCTTTTTTCAATTTTTCCAATTTTTCGGAAAAAAACAAAAAATCTTCAGGAAAAAAAACGGGGAAAAAACGTTTTTTTCCCGAATTTTTCCGGTTTTTTTCCGGGCCTTCACATCTCTACCTCCGTCTCACACATTTTTTGTCTCGGCTCAGGCAGGGCGGCTCCAGAGCAAAGTAATCTGCAGGAGCCAAATCGCTCGCTCACAACTTCAATGCCCGTAGCTCACAAAGTAAGATTTTTGCTCACGAAACTCCATGGCGTGGGGAAGGCCCTTCCTTGGGACTGGGAGCAGAATCCTAGGCCAGAAAGGACCCCTGGCCTGTTCCAGCAGGGCCGCTTCGCTCTCCTTAGCTGAAACCTCGGCCATCCAAATTTGCTAACAGGCCTGTACTGCGGCTCCTAGCACCGGAGTGCCTTATGTTTCGGTTTGTTTCTTTTTTGCTTTAGTATGGAAGAGATCCCAAGCGGGAGCGACGACGAAGGAGAACACGCGAAGAGGGAGAGGTTGCCAAAAAGGCCGCTTAAACGGAAGCTTGCGATGGACGAATACCCAGAGTTTGCAGCCAAGCGATTTGCCGACTTCCGGGCCTATCGGAACAGCACCTTGCAGAAGTGGCACGACAAGACCAAGCTGGCTTCTGGCAAACTGGGAAAGGCAAGAAATGCACATCTGCAGCAGTTAGAGGGTGTGGGAGGGCTTGCCAACCTCTGGGTCGTGGCCTGGAGATCTGGAATTGCAGCTGGTCTCCCAGGCTGCAGAGATTTGTTTCCCCGGAGGAAATGGCAGCTTTGGAAGGCGGGCTGTATGACATCACATCCCAGCTGACATCCCTCCTCTCCTGAAATGCTTTCCTCCCCAGGCTCCACCCCCAAATCTCCAGGAATTTCCCGACTAGGAGTTGCCGTCCTGAGGTGCGGGTCATTATTGGAGAAGGTTTTGTCATGCAGATCTTGTTGAAATAGGATTATCTCCCAAAATGACACACCCGTGTGTGTGTGTTTAATTTCTTAAAAGCGTATTTTGCTCTCAGAAATGGTATGTGCTTAGTTGTAGACCTTGGGAAGCTTGGTTTCAGGTCTCACTGGGTGAGCTACAGGCTGTGATCTGGATTGCAGACAGGTAGCCATGACCGTCTGTAGCAGCACAGCAAAACAGGAGTCCAACGGCACCTTGAAGGCTAACAAAATTTATTCCAGCATCAGCTGTCCTGAATGAGAAGCCGGCTCATCACACGCTTCAGATGAATTGACCTCTGACTTGTGAAAGTGTACGCCGAACAGTGTTCCCTCTAAGATGAGTTAGTGTAAGCGGGCTCAGTTTTTTAGCCTCCGGCTCACACCTTTTTGTCTCGGCTCAGGAAGGATGGCTCCAGAGCAGACTAATTTATGCAGTAGCCAAATTGCTCACTCACAACTTTAATGCCAGGAGCTCCCAAAGTAGAATTTTTGCTCACAAGACTCCACAGCTTAGAGAGGGAGCACTGATGCCGAAATGAATTTTGTTAGCTTTGAAGGTGCTGCTGGACGCCCGTTTTGTTTTATGCATGATCCTGTTGCTCTAGTGCAAGCACAGAGACCCACATGCACGGGGGCTTTTCTGTTTACTTCTAGGTGCAGGTGGTAGAAACGGCATGCAGTAGGAAGTTGGGGAGGGGCCATGTCTCAGCGGATGAGCTTTTCTCCTTGCCATACAGAAAGTCCCAGGTTGAATCCCTGGTATCGCTAGTAAAAGGGATCAGGTACTAGAAATATGAAAGACCTCTCTATTTGAGACCCTGGAGAGCTGCTGCCAGTCTGAGTAGATAATACTGACCTTGATGGCAGCTTCATATGACAAAGTCTTGTTCACCAGGCTTGTATCCAGCTCGGAGCATTCTGTGTTGCTACGGTGGATGTGAGCATCTGATTGTGTTCAACACTTTGGCTTCCGTTGTTTAGATGAGGCAGTGTTTTAGCAATAAAGGTGATGGACATAGGCTTGAAATCTCAGAGGCAGCTGGGGGGGGGGGGTGTCCCAGAGGTTACGGGCAGACCCTCTTCATGGCAAAACCCAGCCTAGGCAATAAGGGAATGGGTGAAAATTTGATTAGTTTTTGTAGTTTATAGAGGTTGCAGCTCCCAGGTTTTCTTGGCGTAAGCATAGCTTGAACACAATCCTGGCAGTCCCTTATCCTTCTGTTCTGTAAGGCAGTCTCAATTACAGTGTATTATTGCCGCGTTCTTGGAAGGATGCACAACAGCATGACTTGCAAGCCCTCGGGAATCGCATCTTTTTATTTAGTGTGGGCATGCGTGTGCTCCGCTGCCGTAACTGGCATATGTTTGGTGCTAATTAAAAGCATTGTGTACTGGTTGAACAAATGAAAGTACGAGTTGTGGGGCAAAAGGTGGGCTATAAAGGAAACTGATAACAATTTTTTTAAAAATCCTGCCTTTGCACTGAATTAAGAAGTGAAATGGAGCCTTGTAAACTTTGGGCATTTGAGCTGATCTTCCAGGAGAGGAGGAGAAAGCAGAATGTGCTAGGAATGCTGGTCGCTTCAGCCCTTTTCCTGGGAAGCAAGGACATCTGCATGCCGCATGAACACACATGAAGCTGCCTTCTTTTGAATCAGAGCCTTGGTCAATCAAAGTCAGTGTTGTCTACCCTGATCGGCAGTGGCTGCCCCGAGTCTCAGGTGGAGATCTTTCACTACCTGATCTTTTAACTTGAGATGCCAGGGATTGAACCTGGGACCTTCTGCGTGCCAAGCAGAGGCTGTACTGCTGAGCCACCATCCTTCCCCACCAGCTGCCTACAGTCTGAATTGACACTTGGTTCAGACATGCAGGGGAATTATGTGGCAGAGACTGGAGCTGGTAGAATGGGCTGTGTGACTTTAGCTAGGTAGAGTCATGGAGGATTAGGGATGATGTCAGGACCCACAGCAAATCAACCAAGTACACGCTTCCAAGAAGGTTTTACTTTTATTGAAAAGCTATAGATGCAGTAACAGGAACACTGTTAGGAATGGCGGGCTCTCTATGCGCATAATAGGTTATAGGACATTCATATCCGCCCCCCCGGAATACCCAATTACAGAGGTTCCCGCGTGCGGGCATTAAGCTGAGAACTAACGGCTGCAAAAGCAAAACAGGTAAGATGCTTCCCACGACTCTTGCTGGTCAAAGACACAGCTACTCCTCCAGTGGCCTTGGGAGATATGCGTTGCAGCGAAGAGGCAATTAAGCGCCAGGGAAAGAATGTACATGAAAGGGAAACACACACCACACTATTGGCAGCTTAGCTGATAGATGAGCATGAACTGCATTTTTGCAGTTTGGTTTGTAGCTGAACTGCAAACCGATAGGCTGGTTTGCAAACTGAACCGGTTTGTAAGCCATTTAAAGTTTAAAATCCTGCTTTCTGCTCCCCACAAAAAACGGTGGGGAGCAGAAAGCAGGGTTTTAAATGGCTTCAAGCTGTTTTCTGCTCTTCATGAACTGCATCAAAATTTGTAGAAGTTCATGGTGGCCCTTCAGTTTGCATACATTGCTTTGCAAACCATGAACGGGCTAAAATTTGTGATGAATTTTAGCTTGTGAGCCAGTTCATGCCCATCCCTATGGAGGCTTGCATGCTGGTAAATGTCTCCTTAAGTTTAAAAACTCTCTGCAAATAGAAAAGCAGGACAGCAAGCAAAGAGAAAAGCTTTTGCCCTGCTTTGCTAGTTTTCTGTTTGTATGGAAATAATGTGGGTGAGTGGGGGTTGTCCGTGAAGGAATTTCGTCACTGGAATCTGCCACCTGCAGCCTAGAGTGGTGCAGTCCCTTCTAGCTTCTTGCCATGTCGCTTTCTAGCATGTGTAAACCTGCCCTCGAGCAGAGAGAAAATGCGATTGCAATAAGTTAGTTGTCAAATGAAAGCTGAAGGAGCCCCGGCATGCGTGAGGCTTCCGTTTGTGTGACTGGACCTTTTGGACTGCAGTATCATGTCAGTTCTGATGATGATCTGAAGCTGCCAGAAAACCATTAAAAAATAAAGGCTGTTTGCAGCAACAGATAAATAAGTTTGCCTGCCTGAGAATGCACCGCTGACAGAAATGTACATCTGTCCGCATGTGCAGCTAACTTGCCTAGGGGAGCTGCGCTGACTTGTACCATCAGTCACTTGAACATTCCTGAGAGCAAAGTTTGAGTGCCGTGACTTGCGTGCCCACAAAAGCTCATACCAGGAATAAAACTGTGTTGGTCTTAAAGGTGCCCCAGGACTCCTACTATGTTCTGCTGCTTCAGGCCAACACGGCTACTCCACCTGAATCTATGCTCCTGAGAGAGGTTTGCACAGCCAGTATTAAGGGGTTAATATTGGGGGGGGGTGTTATTTGGCACTTGTGCTGAGAAACCAGTCTATTAACTAGGGCTTTCTGTCTTCCCGCTTGCCTTGGGGACAGTAGCTATATAAATAAAAAACCCTTGCCGCACCGAAATCCAGCCCAAATCCCAAACTAAAGCCCCGTCTCATAGGCAACGCTTTCTGCTTATCCAGTGACACAGAAAGATAGAGGCCAGTGCCTTGAGCAGCAGCTTTCCACATTATCTGACACTGCTTAATGTTCTTGCAGGGTTTTGGTGCCTTTGAGCGTTCAATCTTGACTCAGATTGAGCATATTCTGATGGACAAAGAGAGATTACTCCGGCGGACGCAGACCAAGCGCTCGGTCTACAGGGTGCTGGGGAAGCCGTTGCGGGAGCCTGAGCCGCTTCCGGAAGCTTTGCCAGGACAGACGGTAAGGGATTCTCCCCCCCCCCCAACCCAGTTGAAGACAGTTTTATTTAGGACTGCATTTGATTGCAACAGTCCTAAATTGTAATTTAACACATTTTCATTTTGTGTTATTTTTATGTGCTTTATTTTATGTATCTTGTAAGCTATGTTGAGCTCCATAAGGAAGAAAGGTGGATAATCACCATAATACCAAGCCCCCTTGTTCTGTTTGCAGCACATATTTACAGTTTAAGGTTGGCAGTTTGGGGCCAAAGACCCAGTTATTGAGAGCGGGTGGGATTTAGCTTGGGGGCCGTCAGCTGCTGACTTCTGAAACCAGTCTTTGGGATTGCAAAGGACACTGACACCCAAATTCCAGCCTGGTGAATCTTCACAAATTCAGTCTCTCTCCCTCTTTCTCTCTCTGGTCCTTCTAGGAGGCCCTTCCACTAGCTGCAGCCAACGCCCATCTCAAAGACCTGGATGAAGAGATCTTTGATGACGATGACTTTTACCATCAGGTGAGGCCCTGTTGAAATGGTGGCATGTGGATATTCATGCAAAGCAAATGTGTTAATAACCTGACCCTTCAGCTTTATTGAATTGGCTTGACACTCCGTGCAAATAATAAATTGCTACGTGAGATGTCCTCTGCCAGAGCAGTGGGAAAAGAAATTCACAGCAGGGCTTATATGCTGTCCGCTCTTATAGTAACTTGAAAGGCTGGTAAATACTGCTTTTGGTACTGCCTCTTTGCTAGTTAAATGTTCCAAGCAGGCTTTTTTTTTGGGGGGGGGGAGACACAGCCTGAAAAAGCATGCTGGGATTGCTTCTTTTTGTTTCCTGAAATGTTTTTGAGCATGGTTGTGGTTTGTGTCTTCCTGAAGCACCTTTGAATGTCCTTTGCTGCCTAGTGTTAACTAGCAAAATGCTCGTCCTCCTGTCTGGTGGTATATGTAAATCTTGCGAAGTGCCTGGTTACACACTCTTCAGAAGCTCAGTGACACAGTGGGAAAGCATATGCGCACGCTTTTGCTGGAATCCCAGCTATGGCTCATTTCTACAGCACATAGACACACACACACACACTCTGGGGTCTTTCAAAACTGCCCCAGTGCACAGACATGCAGTGTGCCTCTCCCACCGTACTTAAACCCAGATAGGTCAAACAGGGTCTCCCAATGTAAGGGGGCCCCCGTGAGGGCAGAAAGTTGTTGTTGTTGTTGTTCTTCAGTCGCACAGTCGAGCCTGACTCTTCGCGACCCTGTGGACCACATCATGCCAGGCCCTCCTGTCTTCTGCCATCCTCTGGAGTTTGCTCAATTTCATGTTCGTTGCATCAATAACCCTGTCCAGCCATCTCATCCTTTGCTGTCCCCTTCTTCTTTGACCTTCCATCTTTCCCAGCATCAGTGAGTGCTCCCTTCTCATTGGGTGGCCAAAGTATTTGAGCTTCAGGTTCAGTATCTGGCCTTCCAGGGAACAGTCAGGGTTGATTTCTTTTAGGATTGACTGATTCGATTTCCTTGCAGTCCAGGAGACTCTCAAGAGTCTCCTCCAGCACCATAATTCGAAAGCATCTATTTCTTTGGCACTCGGCCTTCCTTATAGTCCAACTCTCGCAGCCGTACATTACTAATGGGAATACCATTGCTTTGACTATACGGACCTTTGTTGGCAGGGTGATGTCTCTACGTTTTATTATGCTGTCTAGATTTGCCATTGCTTTCCTCCCAAGGAGCAGGCATATTTTAATTTCATGGCTGCAGTCACTGTCTGCAGTGATCTTAGATCCCAGGAACGTGAATTCTGTCACTCCTTCCATGACTTCCCCTTCTGTTTGCCAAGGAGTGACGTTGAGTTTCAAGCCAACTTTTGTGCTCTCCTCTTTCATTCTTAGCAAGAGACTCTTTAGGTCCTCTTCACTTTCTGCCATTAGAGGGCAGAAAGGCAGGGTATAAATGTTGTTGATAATGATGATGATATTTTTTTTCTTAGCACAGCAGCGTCCCCATAAGCAATAATGGCAGGCCTTTCACATGTGTCAGAATGCCAAAGGTGCTTGCAGATTCAGAAAGGTTGAGGGCCCCTGCTGTTGATGGCTTCAGGGCAATGCCACCAGGCACCACACAGTTACATGTTCTTAAGCTGTGCTGACTTAATTTCAGGGCTTTGAGTGTTCTCAGCTGTGTGCTGGATCACAATCCTCTCCGCTGAACTTGACATTGCTGATAATCTTGCAAGTTTTTATGATGTTTGGCTTTTGCAGATGTAGGGGTGGGGGGTGGGGGAAATTACTTGCTCAAAGTGTCCCAGAAGTGCACGGCAGAGTTGACTTTAGAACTTAGGCTAGATTTGGTTAGGACTGATTCCAGGTACCAGTTTTTTCAGACCTGTCCCCCCCACCCCACCCCCCGATCATGTGGACAAAACACTTTGAAAACAAATGCCAGTGCACCAGAACACACACACACACACACAATTTAACTCCTGTTGGGGAGCAGGGTTGGAAACTCTAGATGTGGCTTGGAGTTCTTGCTGTCTCACATCAGCTCATTCTGGGGCCAGGGTGACCTTGTCGCTCTTGCGTGTGTGTTAAACACAGTCAAGTTGCTTCTGACATGGTGACCCTATGAATTAATGTCCTCCAAAACGTCCTATTATTAACAGCCTTGCTCAGGTCTTGCAAACTGAGGGCCTCTGTGGTTCCCTTGATGGAGTCAGACCATCTCCTCTTTTCCTGCTGGAAAGTTCCCTGGCATTATTGCGACTTCCACCGAGTCCTGTCTTTTCATAACTTGGCCAAAGTACGATAGCCTCAGTTTAGTCATTTTAGCTTCTAGGGAGAACCCAGGCTTGAGTTGATCTAGAACCCACTGGTTTGTATTTCTGGTATCCGCAAAGCTCTCCTCCAGTACCACATTTCAAACGTTACTTGAAAGCACTGGCCAAAGGAAAGGTCTGTGTGAGATGACACCGGAGGGTGGCAAAAAAGATGTAGTAATCACCTTGCACTGAAGTGCCTGGGAGGGCAGTTGGCACATGAACATGGCATAGGGCTGCCAAGCCGCAGCGGGGGATCCGCACGTCTTCACAGGATCCCTGCCGCGGGGGGGACAGCGATACGCGTTGCACCGCCGGTGCAACGCGTATCGCTGTCCCCCCGCGGCAGGGATCCTGTGAAGACGTGCGGATCCCCCGCCACGGCTTGGCAGCCCTAACATGGCACTAATAAGAAACCATTGGGACCAAGAGGGGTGCAGTCAACCTGAGAGGGAAAAGGCGGGGAGCTTCAGAGCTCCGATACGTCACGTCTTCCTCATCCCCCCTCCCCAGTTAATTGGGGTGCCAGGGTTAATCTAAATTAAAGCTTAAACTAATAGAGGTCTCGGAAGGAAGAGGAGCTGCCTGAGTTTAAACAAGCGGCGCTGCCAGGCTTTGCCGTGTCTGGGTGGTTACCCGAGGGGAGGGGGAGAATCAGCAGCAGCTCTGGAGCACCTTCGAGAAACCTGCCAACTCACAGGGGCCTTCTCTCCCTCTTTTATTTAATTATTTTTGAAAACAATTTGGGAATGTCTCGATATTGCTGCCGCTTGCATTTGCTGGTGGCAAAAAGTGTATATGTGTGTGGGGGGGGTGTCTGTCCCTGCAGGTGCTAACATCTGGCGGCACAGCGGGGGATGGGCTTGTGCCCCGGAAACCCCACCGTCTCTCAATATGGTGCTTGGGAGTGCGGTGACTTCCATCTCTTCCCTGACTTTGGCAGTGGACTGTGATAGCTTTCCTCTCCGCCCTCTGCACGTCAGATGTAGGCGCCTTTGCTGCCGGGCAGCCGTTCTTCTGCTGCCTCTTCTCTCCCACTTCGCTCCCCCAGCTGCACCATCCATATTTCCCTTCCCGTATCTCCCCCCCCCCCCAGCAAAGCCTTCTCTTTTCCTCCCATCCCCAATGTGCTGCTTGGGAGAGATGATCTGTAAAGATTGCCACTTCATTGTGTCCAAGTAATTGAGGAGACACTGGGCCCCCTTGACAGACACTGCCAAGTACCCATTCCACTGACCTGGTTAATTTTCTTCCACTGAGTAGGATTTGGCAGCGAGATTGGAGCTGAAGTCTTATTCAGCGGTGAGGCGATTCTGAGGGGGAAAGCAGCTGTATGTTTTCTGTCACCTCCTGGTTAAATTGGCTTCATAAAGGGCTTCTCGTTATTCAGCCGGCTTGTAAACCAGGGCTGCAAAGCTGTGCTCTGGGGCAGGAGCACGACCAGTTAAAGTTGACCAGAGACCGTCCCCGGAATGCCTTGCCGCTCTGTCTCTTTCTGTTTTTTACTTGGCTCCTAACCGAATTATGTCCCCGTACATCTGTACATCTGTTAAGTGTGTGCACGCCCACAAGCAAGTACCTGCCTCTTTAAATGTGGAGGCTGCAGGTAGGTGCATCAAACCCAGGCAAAACTAGAGATGTAAAATTTCCAAAAATTTTGAAGGTTGGGAAAAAAACCATTTTTTCCCTTTTTGGGGGGGGGAATGGAAATTTTTGGAAAAATTGAAAAAAATTCTACATTAGCACTTCTTTTTCTTTTCCAGATTGAAAGTCATTCTGTTACTTTAGGAACATAAAATATGACTATGGACATTTTTACTTGGCATGAAATTATCACAACTAGCATATTAAAAATATAGTGTATCCAGACAATTATTACAAACAGAATACCCACCCACATGCAAAAACAAAACTGAAACCTTTTTATTTTCTTCTGACAATAGCACCTCCTAAAGGAAGAAGTGCATCTTGTTCTTGCATTGGAGAGTTCAGTTTGTAACCTAGGACTTGCTTGTCCTCAGTGCACAGAAATTAGATCAATCTGATACCATACATATTTTTTAGAAATGATTTGGAAAATATTTGAATACCTTGTCTTAAAATATCTATATATCTAATTCCGAAGATGCCCCCTGTGTGAGGATACCAAAATCCACGCATCGGGGGCACCTGGGGGGGAGGGAGATTTTTGTGCACACTTGGGACGGTCCCCAGGTGTGCGCAAAAATCTTAAAACCTGAAAAAAATATCGGGGGGATACTTAAATCCCCCCAAAAGTAACAGAGCATCCCCTGCGCATGC